ACTCTATACAAGCAAGAAATGGAGCGACAATCAAGTGCCGAACATGTAGTAAATGTGCGACGACAAATACATGATGCTGGCAATTGGACTTTGATGCCGTAGAGAAATTAATCATGGTTAAAGGGAATTGGCTACAATGAATTCAAGGATGAATCAATCTTTATGGCAGACATAGCAATGCAGATGTTCATAAGAAAATAGCTGTGGAAACAAAGAAATTTCTCGGTTCCAATCGACTGAACTAATTCTAATTTAATTACACTTAATAAAACGATTTAAATTAAATGAATTTTATATACCTTGACAATATATAGAAACGCACTTCATTTTATCTAGCTCCACGTCATACATCCCTCCTCTAACAACTATTTTCTCTATGGGGGGTGGGTCGAAGGTAGCATCGTTACTTTTGCTAAGTAAATGTTCATAATTTCGCCATGCACTCTCAATCCTTAAGCTATCGTATCCACAGAATTCTACCCATCTTTTGTCTACGCCGTCTTTATAAAACCATCTTATTTGCTCAGCTGTCAGAGGTTCAGCACACGTCGGCTCCTGCGTTTCTTCCTTTAAACTTGGTTCTGTAAAACGTGCTCCAGAATTCAATGTTACACGCGTGTACTACATGACGTCAAGTATGTACATTACACTTACAGGCGAGGTATAATTGACAAACTCTTTAGGACGTTTCATCGATTAAATCGCATTTAAATAAGTATTAATTGAATAGAGATTTTACCTTCGCAGCTTTGGAATTCTAATGATGTTTCGCTGAAAGGATCGACTTCAGTCTTGCTGTTAGACATTCTCTTTGTTGCCACCGGTGCTGATAAAATTATCACAGAACACTCTAAATATCGTCTGATCACAAGACTCCGCGATAATTGATGTCACTTTAAACTCTGGCTACATCTGACGCTTGCTAAACAGGACGGTTCTCACGTACAAAATTAACATTCAAACACTATCGAACACTCGTCATCGTACCGCGTACGATCGCAGGAATCCACGGAGTACGTCACTGAAATCTGTATTACAAAAATCCTTTGATACTTTTACTTTTGTTCAATGACAAACCTCGTAGCACGGTGTATCGTTAATAAATAAACGTGTATCAGACTCACGTTAGGCCGTCGCGTACGGCAACGTTCAGAACTGAGTTCGACGGTTCGCTAGTCTGGCAATTAGCCTATGAAACAACTGAAATTTTGCAGATACTATGCAATTTTCTTGTTCCTCCGGCTCCGTTGTTTCGTTCACCCCTCGTTATCTTACATAACTATATAAACTCTCCTCCTTCGCCTCTCGTGCAGCGATAAAACTGCTGCGTTTAATAACCACAGACAGCTGATGCAAACGCAATGCGTAAACCAGTATGCGATACGTACGTCTTATATACCTATATGTATCATTTCCATACACACGTACTTTTATACCGCGGCAAAGTGCAAATCTATACAAGAGCCATAAATATGTATGCGTGATTACATATAGACGTCTAGATCAGTGAAATTAAATGTAACGTGAATCGTTTAAGAATGAGTAATAATAAGTAGCATTTCTTATATGACAGATCACGCGTACAACTTAATCGTTCTAGGAATTATAAAAACCGGACATACTTATAGCGTTATTTTATCAAATTCACATTCTTCGCTGAGACAGATTTAATTAATAACAAATGCATGTGCATACACTTACTATGAATACAATTGATAAATCAATTTATTCATAGACTAACGGAAATGAATAATTTTAGCTACGTTTTCATATTCTTCCTAGTATTTTGCATATTGTAGAAGGCTATTATTTTGCGCACGTGTTTAGTAACTCGGCCATCAACAGATAAGCTGCAAGACATAATATATACTTTCGTCGAAATGATTAGAATCGAGCCAAGCATTGCAAAATGATCGACAGATGCTTCATTTAATACAAGTACGTGAATTTCATTCATGAAGATTTCAATTCATGACTCCTTATTATTAGTACAATGCAGAGTTTCATAATTAAAGAAACCAGGAAGTTTAGTACGAATTCGAAAATAAAAAATATGTATCTTAAGGGGCGGTATTTGGTATTTGTGTCCAGGGCGACGTATATACAAATACTGAATATTTATAATCTTTTTCCTCGACACGATTTCTTATTATTCCTTCCTGTCTTCATTTGTAACAATCACAAAGACTGGTATTGTGAATAAAACTTAGCTTGCGTAATACTTAAAAAAATGTTTTACTTTATTGAATATCTGCTTATAATCGAAGCTAGTTAAAAGACAATAATCGAACACATGATTACAAATGTATACACGTGACATAAGAATTGGCAACATACGTAGAAATAAGAATAGCAGAACAAAAATGTAATAGCAAATGACTTCCCTTTAGGGTATACATTTTTATTATCATAAACGATAGTATATACGTACGTATGTTTTACTTAATGTTATCTTATACATATAACCGTGTCTCCTGTCCTCGCGTCATCGTGAATTATTACAAATCGTAATATAGGATGTAAATAAAAGTATGAAACAGAGAACTTAGGTGTGTGGCAGCGACAGGCGTCTCTGCCACGGAGTGGCAAAATTTAATATTATCGCATGACTGTTTTCCTTTTCTTCTTTTTTTAAATTAAGTTAACTGGCTCGCCTCGTCAGTCGGACATTATTTACTACGCTCCGCAGCTCCACGAAGTAAAACATATATTTTCTCTTTAATCCAATCTTTGTTGTGAGGGGCATACGTATTCGTAGATCTTTGATAAACGAGGCAAGACAGATCTGTAAGTTCATCAATAAAATCAAACAACTGACTGATATCGTACGTTATCGTTGGTGTGTCTGGGTTTCTTCTTCTCAAATGGGCCTCATAAATTTTACATACACCTATGTTGGACAAATCAGACTTTTATAATCCATTCTTTTCCATGTTTGCAAGATTTTTATACAACTGACATTGTTTTAAGTTAAATTATGCTTTATATAAGAATGTTCTCATAATTTTACCTTCCATACATTCGATTACACTCTCGTAATCAGAATAAGTCCTCGTTTCAGCCCTGCTCCCTGGTTGAAGCAATAATATTGTGTGAGACTGCAAACGAAAACAAGTATGTTACATTTGCATTATTCTATTAGGTTTAAGAATGAATGAAGAGAAACAATATTCATTGTTTACTCAAATGTTTACAAGTTTCAGTGCATGTACAAAATTGTAGATATTTAATTTGCAAATCTCTTAATATGAAATTTGTCAACAGGATTATTAAAACTACGAATAAATACTAAAGATTTGAGAAGCAGTCAAAACAACAGTCGATTACCATTTTATGTCCCAGAATATAAACAGTCCACTAGGTCAGTGGAATTGTAGTCTCGTTGTATTTTCCTCGTTCTATTCACTGTAGCAGTGCGTAACGTGGCAATTAATCCCTTCAGAACAAGAAGACAACGTGAAAATTCAGAGTCCACAGTTTTCTATACAATGTTGCTTGAAGTTTATTGTTAGCTGCGTTAGCGATCCGTGGGCACGAACATATGTAGACGTCGAATACATAAATAGGGAAAGGCAGATACCAAATAAACCAGTAAACGAGAAGCTATAATAATGAAAGCTAATCATTAATATATATATAAAATGTTATCTTTTGTACGTTTCATTCTGTTGATAACTTTTTTTCTGAAGCTTCTTCGTTTTTATAAAAATAATTCTAAGGCGAGTTTCATTGCGATGTAGCGCAGCTTATTATAAATGTCGGTGTCAGTGCGCTTCCAGCGCTTCTTCAGCATACAGACGTAAGTACTGCATCTATGTATTGACTATATATCGTGCGTATTGTATTGTCTGGTGAGTCGTTGAACGTAGAGGAGGTACGATCTCAGCTTTTCCGATTTCCAGCGCGGTTCTCTTGAATCCTAAAACCATGAAAGCGAAACTGGATTTAACGGCCGAGGTGGCATGGTCGAAATTGCAACAATATTACGACGCGAACGGCTCGAAACTTAAGATAATCGACCTCTTCCAGCAGAATCCCAAGCGTTACGAAAATTTTAGGTAAGTTTCGCCGATCCTTGATATGTGACCTTCACGCGACCTTCTGAAGGCTGTCGGTTCCAATGAAATTCTGACCTTGATTACAATTTCTTTATTCATTCTCTTCGTTTATAACATGTCTTTAGTAGATATTTTCAGTTTAGATTGTTTGTCAGATATTCATTTACTATGTCATATATTGACAAATTTTTATTCAGTTTTATAGTGTAACATAAGCGTTATTTTTACAATATGTTCATTGACCAGCTTAGAAATTTCTACACCCGACGATGGACCTATTTTGCTGGATTATTCCAAGAATCGTCTCACCGAAGAAGCATTGCAATTATTAATGGATCTGGTATGTATTATATTACATAAGTACTAAAACGATACAATGCTAGAATTGTAATTATTATTGGAATCATCATCTAGCATAATGTTACATAAGTATTAAAAATTATACATCATGATAAGACATGAACTCTTGATTATTCGTTTCCTATAACTGATTGTAATGAATTATAATTATTTTTAGGCAAGAGCACGTGAAATTGAAGCTGCAAGGGATGCCATGTTCAAAGGAGAGAAAATTAATTTCACAGAAAACAGGGCAGTTTTACATATTGCCTTGCGTAACAGAAGTAACAAGCCAATACTGGTTGATAATAAAGATGTAATGCCAGATGTGAACGCCGTATTGGATCATATGAAACAGTTCACTAACGAGGTAACATAATCAATTAAATGCATGTTTTTATTTATTAAATACGAAGATTTAATTCGCTCTGTTGCGTCTTGTAGGTATTGTCGAAACAGTGGAAAGGATTCACCGGCAAACCGATCGAAGATGTCGTTAACATTGGAATCGGTGGCTCAGATTTGGTAGGTGATACG